CATATGTTTATAGTAGAAAATTTAAACAATACAGAAAGCCATCAGGAACTAAATAAAAACCAACCTTAATTCCACCACATGGAGATGGTTATCACGCAAGCATCGTTGACAGTGTTATTTGTGTTGGTTTAGTTCTGGTACCAGTGGCTTGCTGGTTTTTAATAATTTCTCCTAAGTTTGCATATTCTTCAGCAAAGCATCCAAGGGAACCATTTGAGGGCAAGGAACCATAAATGCCTAGAAAATAAAATATTTTTTTTTTTGACAACGACAAGACCCTTGATATGTAACTCAGAGCCTTTAATCTGTACACTTTTTACAGTTCTCTGTTCCTGATTTTTAGAAGCTCAGTTTTTCTAGTGATACAGCATGCCAAGCATTTAGATTGAAACTCATAAATTTCTTCTTCCAACTTCCCTGCTATAATTACTTGGCCGCCCACATTATTGTTGCCAATTGCCAAGTGTAGCTGGTGAGTGACAGGTAGATTATTTGTGCCTGATGTGGGTCACACTTTTGCTTGGTCTGAGCATTTTTGTTTAATGCTCCAAGAGAAGGCCGTCAATGGGGAACAGAGCAGGAGTAACAGAAGTCTACTGGGCGGTGATTTGGCAGCTCAGAGAAAGTTATAAATTAGGCTGTCAGAAGGGAACTTTCTGGCAAAGTTAGTGAACAAACACAAGGTGTGAGGTGGCCAGCACTTGTAATAAGCTAACTTTCTCTCTCACTGGTGGTTTCCTCTTGTTGGTCTTTCGGTGAAGTGGTTAGACGTGTTAACTATCACCCAAACAGAACCTGAACGACTGTGGGGTTGGGCATACGGTGGTGGCCAGCAGTGGTAACAGACGGGGGATACGAACGCACACATCTGTAATCAGAGAGTGACTGTGGGCTTTGGAGTTTGGTTAATGGCGTAACCGAATCTACTCCTGGGAACTGTCAATAAGCAAAGGCATACCAACTAACTTTTCCTGTCATTTTAGTGACTTCAGTTTGACAGTCCCCCCAAATCTGCACTGTCTGCTTTCATGGCCAGGGGAGGGGTGGGTCTATCATATAAAATTATGACATTAATATTGAAGAAACTTTAAGGAGGTTTCCTCTTTCTACTCCAACTTAGTGAAGGGGGAGAAAAAAAATGCCTTGGTATGCATGCTCAATCCAATTGTATAAATTAACTGCTTTATTGGAATCATCTTCTTTAGTCAATGTGACAGCAATTCACACTGATGAAATACTTTGAAATGGGTCTGTCTTTCTCACCAAAACCTGTCAACACCGTCAGTACCTGCTTTAATTAGGGTGACCAAATAGTCGGGTTTGACCGGGGCTGTCTTGGGGGATTATGCCTCTTGTCTCAACCAGTAAATTTTCATAGAGCCCCCCATTTCATTCTCAAAAGTGTCCCAGTTAGGACAATAAATTATATGGGCGTTCCCAACATGAATGAAATTGAGGAGGCGCCATCCAGGTCAGCTTCCCGTTTCACAGTGTTGCTTTGCTTGGAAAAATCTCTAATGCCTCAGCCTAAAAGCCTCTTGGCCCTGGGGTCACAGTTTGACTTCTTTCATTCTCCAGTAATATTCCTTCCCAAGCTTTATTTTTTTTTCTTTCAGCAGCAGAATCTACTTTTTCAGATGAAAAGTTAGACAGAGGCTCCAGTGTTTAAAACAGAAAAAGTAGGGACTTTGCTGATTGCAGTGAGGGTAGCAAGCTCAGATACCCCCATATTTGGCTCCTCTCTCTTTCCTTCTGGTGTGGGTCTCTGATGAATCTCATGGCTTTGTGAAGCATAGATTAAATCTATTGCCAGAGCAAAATGTTACCATCAATTTAATATGCTGTCACTGCATGGATTGAACACTGTGCTCTGGTTCCCGAGTCAAGTTACGTTAGCAATACTGTATGTGTTTAAAGCTTGGCACAAGTTGATGATCATCAGGCTATTTAAAAATATTATCTCAGGATTCAGCCTCAATTCTAGGTTAGGCTACTCTTGTGGCCTTAATTCTTCTAACCGATCAAAGTTTGACTGCCAACTTTGTTGTTCTGTCATGGATCAAGGCTGAGGAACGACCACACCATCCTGGTAATTCTCTGTCTCACCTGTCCCCTTTTGGGGCCCTATAGCTTAACTCTGGCTTTATGACTCTTCCCCTGTAACCTCATCCTTTGTTTGTGATTTGAAATGCTCTTCTAGTACACTAATTTTCTCTTCATCCTTGCAAATCTTGAGCAGACCATCCTGGGTCTTTTCTCTGATTGAGTTCCCAGTTTATGGTAAAGCTCATTGTAGCTTAGAAAATACACAAAACCTACCAAACACATCCATGGATTAAAAACCTTCAGTCACTAACCTCATGAGTCTCTCTCAGCTTTACCAGCTTCATTATTTTAGACATCCTAGCCAAATACAGACTTTCATCAGATATATGTACTAATCCACACCTATATTTCAACCACGGTTGACTCACCAGCCTGACGACCCCCATCGATTCTCAATGATTCTGAGGAGCGGGTTATTTTTCTTGGCACGGACCCAAACGTTGAGGCTAGAATTCAATATTAAGCTGGTCTCCCTAGGATGTCATTAAGAGGGTTAGGTTACCGAAACACCAACATATATTGTCATAATACAGCAATTTCACTCAAAACGGCCTCGTGGCCCAGCCGTTGTGACTGTCACATTTTAAAACTCTAGCACCCTTGGAGGCTTGGGGTGAAGGGCCCAATCAGGAATGGATACTTTGCGTATTTGTTTATTCAAAAATATTTGGAATACAGTGGCATTTTCTTGACTGCTAAATTGAGGTACTACTAATTATTTCTGGATGATCAGAAATATACAAAAGAAAGTTTTGTTCAATCAATTGTTATTTGCTCAGGACATTTATGGAAAAAAGTCATTTATACCTCGAAGAAAGTTTGCATTTATATATGGTGCACATTGTATACAAAAAGTTGGCTTGAATTTTTAAAAAGGATCATTTTTACATATTTCATACAATTTTACCATACAGTTCCTCAGACTCAAACTTATATACTCTTATAAGGGGAAATATCTAATAATGTTAGCTTAAATCATAAAACAGAGTAGCTCAACCTTGGCATTGTTGACATTTTGGTCCAGATGATTCTTTGTTGTGGGGTTGACCTGTAGTGCTGTGGGGCTTAACAGAAGCTCTGCCTTTGACCCCCTAGATGCTAGTATCACCATCTCCCCCACCCAGCTATGACAAGCCAAAATGTTTTTAGGTGTTGTCAAGATGTCCTTTGTGGAGCAAAATCATCCCTTGCTGAAAACCACTGCTGTAGAAAGATATCAAAACCAAGAGGAAGAGTTGGAAATGGAACGGCCCATGGTTCTACAGTGACTTCAGATCCTGTCCTCTTCCATGAGCAACAATGAAGATGAAACGTTGGCTGGCTCGCTGAATAGGGCTACATGGAACTATGAGGGACTTCAGCCAATCTGGGACATCTCCCAAGTTTCTCCTTTTACAAATTGACCCCTTACGGAAAGTAGGCAGCATTAAAGATATTAGGTAGCTGGTATTATTTTTCTTTTAATAATTTAGAAATGTGCTCATAACAGTTGGCTTTTGTTGTTTGATTGCTCAGTCGTGTCCAACTCTTTGTGACTCCATGGACTGCAGTACGCAAGGCTTCCCTGTCCTTCACTGTCTCCTGGAATTTGCTCAAACTCATGTCCATTGAGAGGATGATGCCATCCAATTATCTCATCCTCTGTTGCCCGCTTTTCTTCCTGCCCTCAATCTTTTCCAGCATCAGGTTCTTTTCCAATGAATCGGTTCTTTGCATCAGGTGGCCAAGGATTGGAGCTTCAGTTTCAGTCCTTCCAATGAGTATTCAGGGTTGATTTCCTTCAGGAGTGATTGGTTTGATCTTGCAGTCTAAGGGACTCTCAAGAGTCTTCTCTAGCACCACAGTTCAAAAGCACCAATTCTTCAGTGCTCAGCCTTCTTGATGGTCTAACTCTTACATCTGTACATGACTACTGGAAAAACCATAGCTTTGGCTATATGGACCTTTGTTGACAAAGTAATGTCTCTACTTTTTAATATGCTGTCTAGATTTGTCATAGCTTTTCTTCCAAGGAGAAAGTGTCTTTTAATTTCATGGCTGCTATCTGCAGTGATTTTGGAGCCCAAGAAAATAAAGTATCTCACTGTTTCCATTTTTTTCCATCTATTTGCCAAGAAGTGATGGGACCAGATGCTACTTAATAAACCAGTCTAGAGCTCAGTGGCTGAAAGGACATTTATTATGGCTCACAGATAAGATTGGTGGGTGTTCAGCTTATATAGGCTGGACTTGATGGGGCAGTTCTGCTTCTCCATGTAGGTCTGTGGGTCACCTGGGGCTGCAGCAGCTGACTAAGCTCTGCTCCATGCGTCTCTCATTGCCTTCTTGGTGCTAGGAGGCTGCTTGGGACATGCTTATCTCACTTCTGGTCCATTCTATGAGTCAAAGATCATCCCATGGCTGAAGCCAAGGATTGTCACATGTCTGGACCCAAGTCCACGGGAGGCAAGCTAGGCTTTGCCCCTTTGTGGGAAAACATGACAAAAGGCATATGGATACAGTGAGGGATGAGGAATTGGGGTTTATGACACAATCTATTAAATCCTTTTTTTTCCCCCAAATCCTTATTTTTAGAGTAATAGTTTTGCTTTTATATAATTCCTGAACTGAGTTCCTTTATTTTGCTAGATACTTCTGTAATGAGAGAATAGAATCACAGGACCATTTCAAAAATGGAATCATTTGGTAAAGAAGAGTGGGCCAAACAAACTATCTGAAAATTTACTTTCACTCCAGTTAACTCAATCTTGCACGAATTAAGCAACATTATATTTCTGTGGTTTTAAAAAAATGGAAAAAATTGAATTTGTCTGACACGGAGGCCAAGAGGAAAGGTATTTTCAAAGATATTTGTGAGATTAAGACACAAAAACACTGATTTTTTTTTTTTTCAGGATTGGCAGATTGCTGATATGTTGGCCAGAGGAATGTGGAGTGAAAATCTCTGGAATGTTCTAGCAACTTTTAAAATTTATTGCCAGGAAATGGGTGCTGCTTGTCTTCTCTGCATCTTTTTAAAAGATCTCTTGTGAATCCAGTCAACTCCCATCCAGGTAGGGAGGTTTGGAAACTGCGATAAGTGAAAAGTGTTTTCTACAGCTGTGCCTCAGCCCCGCCTGACCAAACACCATTAATATGTAACCTGAATCTGACCACTTCTTTTCTGTTTACATTTGGTTGCAGTATTATTTTTAACTGGTGAAAGAGCAGTTCAAAGTCATCTTTTCTTTTTGGCACTTATGCATAATCTCTAGAGGTTCGGTAGCAGAATGACCATAAATTGTGTCAGTAGGATTTGAGTCTGGAGGAATTAAAAATCCCTTACCTTATTACACATGTGAATGTACTAAAGATGGATGGGTTGGTCTGTGCCAGGATAAGATATGATATCAGAAATAATTTTTAATTTTTTATGCTGAGACCATAGATTTAGAGGACAATCTTTTGCATGCTTGGCACAATCCATAAAAGATGGGTATGTGCTACACACCTATGAGAAGGGCTGAGACAAAGCAAAATAAAACCAAAACAAAATGCTGACAGTGACAAGTGCTGGAGAGCATACAGAACCATGAGAACTCTCAAACATTGCTGATGAGAATACCAAATGTTTCAGCGACTTTGGAAAACAGTTTTTAAGTTTCTTATTTAGTTAAGCATATGCTTACCATTGGGCTTCCCAGGTGGTGCTAGTGGTAAAGAAGCCACCTGCCAATGCTGGTAGATGTTAAGAGAGGCAGATTTGATCCCTGGGTTGGGAAGATCCCCTGGAGGAGCGCACAGCAACTCACTCTAGTATTTTTGCCTGGAGAATCCCATGGACGGAAGAGCCTGGCAGGCTGCTGTCCATAGGGTCTCACAGAGTTGAACATGACTGAAGCAACTTAGCACGCATGCTTACCATAAGACCTAGAAATCCTACTCCAAGGTAGTTACCCAAAAGAAATTAAAACTCTATTTACACTGACATCTCCATGGGAATGTTTATAGTGGTTTTATTTGCAATCACCAAATATTTTAATTGGTTAATGGATAAACAAATTGTGGGTCATCTGTACAATGGAGAGTTACTCTGCAATAAAGAGAGATGAGCTGCTGATAAATGTAACATCATGGTTAAATCTCTAATGCATTATATTGAGTGAAAGAAGCCAGACTCAAAAGGCTATAAGCTGTATGATTCTGTTTATATGACATTCTGGAAAAAGGCAGACCTAAAGGGATAGAGAATAGATTAGTGGTTACCAGGGGCTAGAGGTAGGGGCTCTCCACAAAGGGGCACATGGGAAATTTAGGGGTGATGGAACATTTCTACGTCTTGATGTGGTCATGATTATAAGGCTGTGTATATATGTCAAAATGCACAGAACCATGCTTTAAAAAGGGTGAATTTATACCCCACTATTCCTGCACCATGTGCTCAGTTGTGTCCGACTGTCAGCAACCTCATGGACTGTAGCCCGCCAGGCTCTTCTGTCCGTGGAATTCTCCAGGCAAGAATACTAGAGTGGGCTGCCATTTACTTCTCCAGGGGATCTTTCTGACCCAGGGATCGAAGCCTCATCTCCTGCTTGGCAGGCGGATTCTTTACCACAGAGCCACAAGGTAACTGGCCCTAGTATGCCTGATTTTAATAAAGTGGATGATTGTCACTCTGAATCTCCTATTTATATATTTATCAACCTAATGTACATGTTGGGGTAACCACCCAACTCACATCTGCTTCTTGAGAACTGGCCTCTAGGCCCTAGTCCCTGCTGAAGGGTGGGCTTAGCCTATGCTTCTTCTGGTTGATTCCACACCCTGACCCCACTGGATGGGACCATGAGTGGACATCTGCCCCCAACTAAAACAGTAACATGCTCTCTTTTGAGACTTTGCTCTAAGAGACATGGAAACCATAGTCCAGAGAGTGTAGATTTTGGCTTGCAGATGTTTTGTTTGGCCTGCACACTGTTTAAAGAAATTGAATTAATTGCCAACATTAAAAAATAGGAGATTTCACATAAAAATCCAGATTTCCGGCTTCTCTTTAAGAAATGGGAGGATGCGGTAAAATGGCCTCAAATTCCTGCCTAGAGACAATGGCTGGAGCAGCGGTGGCTCACCCCCTCCCACCAGCCGCCTCTCCATCCCCACGGGGCCTTCCACTCCTGGGGGAAGGGGGGGAGGCAGTGGAAGCTGTGTTGGTCTGGACAGTTTGCTGGTATGATAGTGCTCAGGGGAATATGAACTATTTCTTTTGCTTTCTCTTTCTATCAAAAATGGAGAGCAAAAGGTAAGATCATGTTTTACAAAACATGATCATGAACATATTACTTTGGATGGTAATGATGATCCTAAGTGGTTTATAGTAAAGAAACCAAATATGTCTGAACTAGAAGAATACAAGTTAGGCTTCCTTTCTGAAGACAAGCTTATTGTTACCAAAGGGGATAGTGGCAGGGCCAGGAGAAATAAATGAGGAACTTGGGATTAACAGATACACACTTCTTTGTATAAAATAAACAAAAAGGACCTACTGTATAGCTCAGGGAACTATATTCAGTATCTTGTAATAACATATAATAGAAAATAATCTGAAAAAGAACATATATACATGTATAACTGAATCACTTTGCTGTATGCCTGAAACTAACATAACATTGTAGATCAACTATACTTTAAAAAATGGTTGAAAAATTATATTATTTTACATTACACACACACGCACATACACATACAAGATTCCTTTCTGAAATGAACATCATTCTTGGCACTCATCCACGTTACCCAGCTGGCCTCTATAGACATTCAAGTTTGTACAACCCTCCCAGTCCAATGGTTGAGGACTGGAGTGCTAAGGTTGCCTAAAGTTGAAGGCAGCTTGAGTTGTACATCGATGTGCAAACAGGTGTCACTGGAGAGGAGAAACTGAGAGCCTTACAAAGGGGCAATCCTGCGGAAATGTGCATGTGGTTGTGTATGAGGGAGAGAGAGAAATAATGAGCTTGAGAAAGGGACAGATGTCCAGAGAAGTGTGCAAGTAAAGTGCCTTCAGTCTATCGTGCATGTGCATCTTGGCGGAGCTTGTGAAAATGCCCATTCTAGTAGTTCTGGAGTGAGGCCTGAGATTCTGCATTTCTAACAAGAGGGCAACTCTGCTGATCAGTGGACCACATTTAGAGCTGAAAGGCTCCAAATCATCCCTCTATAAAGAAACAGTAAAAAATTACCCTGCCTAAACTTTGTTTTCTAACATTTCTTCTCCATTGAATAAGTGTGTGATAAAATCAGTTTCTTTGTCACATATCTAAGACTATTCCTCCTTTTTAATTGAGGAAGGGGCTATTTCAAAGGTAGTGGAGGCTGGCACTCCAGGAAGCAAGAACAATTTTTGTAATTAACTGGCTGGCATCTTCGGAGCAGTGAGCTGGGTGAGCAGCCCAGCTCCGTAACTGTGTCTGGCTTCCTTAGTCTTGATGACTTTGTTCTGTGGCTGTAGGCAATCACCACGGTCTGCTTTCTCACCAGTCAAAAAAAAGAAACAAAACAAAATGAGGTGAGATTTTGACCTTGTAGACTATCGTGAAAGATTTAATTAACATTTGTGAAAGCTTGTGAGATCTATGGAGGAAATGTTCTTCAGATGAACAAAGTAATTTATAGTCACTATCATCATTTCATTACCAGTTCAGCTGATATGCCAGGCAGCTCAGTCTCAAAGAAGCTGTCTCCACAATCTACAACTCCCTTATGGTCAAAACTATTGCTGTGGAGAACATTACAGCTCTCTGTGGGAGAACATAAATCCTGCTTCTTTTTCACAATGCCTGATGTAACGCAGGTGTCTACCATTTCACGATTTAATATGATAGTTTTTTTCACTTAAAGAAGGGAGAATCTCCTTTCAGTTGTGTCCTCCTTCCAAATATAGACCATGGTGATGTCTGTTTAGTATTTAGGGGCTCTGGTTTGAAAGGGATATGCTTTTTCATTTTTGTTTCTCTAAATCAGCAGTCTAGAGAAAAAGTGTCCAAAAGAAATAGAATACAGGCCGCATACGTAATTTAAACATTTCTAAACAGCCACCCTGAGAAGAGAAAAAGAATCTGATAAAATTAATTTTAAAGATGCATTTCTTTAATCTTCCTAAAATATTTTTTCTGTATGCAATTAATATACAACTTATTAATGAGAAACTTCACCTTTTGGGGGTATTGTCTTTGGAATTTGATATACATTACACTTCACATGGGGTGTTAAATTTTCATTAAGACATACCTAATCTGTTTAGGAAAATCCCATGGACGGAGGAGCCTGGTGGGCTGCAGTCCATGGGGTCACTAGGAGTCAGACATGATTGAGTGACTTCGCTTTCACTTTTCATGAATTGGAAAAGGAAATGGCAACCCACCCAGTGTTCTTGCCTGGAGAATCCCAGGGACGGGGGAGGCCTGGTGGACTGCCGTCTATGAGGTTGCACAGAGTCGAACACAACTGAAGCAACTTAGCAGCAGCAATCTGTTTAGACAGCCTAAAATTTACAGTTAAAAGAGTAGTTTTACCTACCCAAGTTGTTCCAAATATACTGAAATTTTTTCTAATAACAGTTTTATATTTAAATGTCAGTTATAGAATAAAATAGCACTTAAAAATCAGTTCCTTGGTCTCCTGGGCCACATTTCAAGGGCTTGCTAGTCATATGTGGCCAGTGGCTAGGCTGTAATGGACAGGGCAGGGCTCCTCTGGTGAGGGCAGCTCTTGCCCTAGGATTTTTTGTTGTTTGTTGTTTAGTCGCTAAGTCATGTCCAACTCTTTTGTGACTCCATGGGCTGTAGCCCGCCAGACTCCTTTGTCCACAGGATTTCCCAGGCAAGAATACTGGAGTGGGTTACCTTTTCCTTCTCCAGAGGATCTTCCCAACCCAGGGATCGAACTCGCGTCTCCTGCAATGGATTCTTTACTGTGGAGCCACCTAGGAAGTGTAACAGAGTTCCTATTCCCACACTCACCACTGGCAGTGCATGTCTGTCCTCTGTTGATGGAGTTACATCATGGCTGACAAACCCTGTGAATGCAGTGAGAAGGCCTTCCTTCCATCAATACACATTATTTGGCTTCCACTTTTCAGAGGATTGCTGTTTATAGCCCATCTGTCTCTCAGAATGACCCACATTCCCCAGAGGGACTTTACAGAGATCCCAACTGGGCGCCACTGGACTAAAACAGCATCTATCCACCCATGCATGACTCCACTCATCCATTCAACAAATATTTATGAAGTATGTTTCTATGACCAGCCCTGATAAGCTCTGGGGACTGCTTCAGCCATGAGAAAGGACGACAGGGTTACTGCCCTCAAGAACCTTAGTGTCTAGGCGTGGTAGACATTCAGTGGAATCACACAAATAATGAGTTCAGAGCAGTATGACATCTATGAAGGAAACCAGAGGTCTCCATGAGCCCCTGAGGAAGCCTAATCTAGTCTGGAGGTTTAGGAAACCTTCCTTTTAAAAAATGACATTTCCGTTGGAACCCGAAGGGGTCAGGCCACGAAGAGATGGGAGCAGGGCCTGTTCTTGGCAGAGGAGACAAGAGAGAGGCAGAAGGTCAGGGTGTCTGGAGAGAGGTTAGCCAGGAAGGGTGGAGAGATGAGGAAGGGCCAGATCGGAAAGGCCTGGAGGTCCTGGAGAAGGACCCTAGTCTTTGTCCAAAGAGCAACTGGAAGATCGCCTGAGCATTTTAAGAAGAACTACTTGATCAGATTCAGGTCCTGCCCCCTTTTTTTTTTTCATGAGGTTAAATGAGTTATTTATTTATTCTACTAGAATGACTAATATTTATTACAGGTTACATAATTTGAAAAAAATCTGTTTTAACTTTTATTCCTATTTAAAATTAAAAATTTTTTGTATGATTTTAAAAGATGACTTTCCATTTACAGTTAATGTAGAATATCAGCTGTGTTCCCCATGTTGTAGCAATACATCCTTGTAACCTGTCTTACACCCAGTAGTTTTTACCTTCCACTCCCCAACCACTACCTTGATCCTTCCTGTTCCCCCACATAACCACTAGTTCATTCTCTATATCTGTGAGTCTCTTTCTTTTATGTCATCTTCACTGGTTTGTTGTATTTTTCAGATTCCACATATAAGCGATAGGATTCCCTGTCTGATAGGCTCAGTAAAGAATTTGCTTGCCATGCAGGAGATCTGGGTTCAAACCCTGGTTGGGAAGATCCCCTGGAGAAGGAAATAACAACCTACTCCAGTATTCTTGCCTGGAGAATTCTGTGGACAAAGGAACCTGGTGGGCTATAGTCCATGGAGTCTGAAAGAGTTGGACACGATTGAAGGACTAAAACTTTATAAGTGATATCAAAAGTATTTATTTTTATCCATCTCACTTATTTCTCTTCAAGTCCCCCTTTGAGTTTTACAAGATGACAAGTGGCTGCAGATCTTCCCTGGGACTTCACCTTTAATTCAGCCTCAGTCCAAAATGACCATGGAAGTCAAAGAGAAAGTGTTAGTTGTTCAGTCATATATGACTTTTTGCCACCCCGTGGACTGTAGCCCTCCAGGTTCTTCTGTCCATGGGATTCTTCAGGCAAGAATACTGGAGTGGGTTGCCATGTCTTTCTCCAGGGGATCTTCCCAATCTAGGGATTGAACCCGGGTATCCAGCACTGCAGGCAGATTCTTGACTATCTGAGCCATCAGGGAAGTGACTTCCTAATCTCATTGTCCTGCTCACTGGCCATGGACACTTGGATTCTTTGAGGAAGAACTAGACCTTAAATGTAGTGAGGACAAAGGCAGTCTGATAGCTCCTGAGGAATAAAATAACAAAACCCTGGATACTCCGGGGTAAATTTAAATTGTACCTGCAAGGGCTAAGATTCATGATTAACCTATCATTAGTGGTACTCCTAATAATTATGATAGACCACTGCTACTAGTTATTGAAGGGTCACTGTGTGCCAGTTGTACATAAATAAATAAGTGAATATATACATAAGTAATTATGTATATATAAATGTTATAAGTGTATGTATACAAATATGTGCATAAATAAATAAATACATAAGTTCTAATCCACAAAAAATCCTACCTGCAAGATAGATACATTATTCCCATTTCCTTTTGGTATTCAAGGGAAGGGAGTTTCACAAAGTTTAAGCAACTTGTCCAGAGTGAAGTCATGAGCAAGTGCAGAGGCAGGGCCTTCCCTGGTGGTGAAGTGGGTTAAGAATCTGCCTGCCACCGCAGGGGACATGGGTTTGATCCCTGGTCTGGGAAGATTCCACATGCAGTGGGGCAACAAAGTCCGTGAGCAGCTACTGAAGTCTGTATGCCCAGAGCCTGTGCGCAACAAGAGAATCCACCACCCTGGAAAGCCCTTGAACAGCAACTAGAGAGTAGCCCCCTCTTGCCACAACTAGAGAAAACCGGTATGCACTCACAAAGACCCAGAGCAACCAAAAATAAAATAAACAAACAAAGACTGCCTTAACAAAGGGATAGAGACAGGGCTGGAGAACATGTATGTCTGAACTCAAGGCCCCCATGTGTCCATGTCATCACGCTGCTTCAGGTAAGTAGACCCCAGGTGAGTCCTGCATGGGAGCATCTGGGAAACAGCTTGCCTGGGCTTAGGTAGACACAGCGGGAAACAGCTTGCCTGGGCTTAGGTAGACACAGCACTGCTCGCTTTGGTGACAAGCAGAGGACAAGTAGTAGTTTTAGGATAGTTGATACTTTCTGAGACTTTGAAAACACTCGCCCTCAAGATGTTCTTTCTAGCAGGTGTCTTTTCTAAATGTTGTGTGTCAGTGGCTTTTTTTTTTAATCCTTCCCTCTTTCTAATATTTTTTAAACCATTTCTGTTTTCTTCTTGCTGCTCCACAGGCCAGTCTGCTTCTGTCAACTGGAGCTGGGCTTTCTTTCTGTAATGTGTGAAACAGCTCGGCCAGCTCTGTACCTGGGCATGGCCTCTTTCCTCTGCTAGGGTGGTGGGTGTGAGCGGCAGCTCCTGACACCGTGGATTTATGTTCCAGGCTCTGAGGCCCGACAGACAGAGCCAACAGAGGGAAGGGCCTTCAGCGCAGGAGGTGCCGTGGTCATCTGTGCAACGCCTTCCTGACAAGTGTGCAGGAAGCTCAGGCTTTTTGAGGTATTAATCTTTTAACATTACTCACAGAGAGAGGGAAAATGTCCACAATATCTACCCAAGAAGAAACTGGCTTGAATCTCCAGTTAAGGATGTAAATCAAGAGGCTGGTTCAAACTTTATTCATTCCTAAAAACATCAGTGAACACCTAGTAAGGGCCACAAATGGATCTAGATGCTGGGATATAGCAATGAACTAACTAAACTGATTAAAAACAAGCAAGTAAATAAAAAGAGTAGATCTTAAATGTTCTCACCACAAAGAAGAAATGGTAATTATACGACAGAGTGGAGGTGTTCACTAATGCTATGCTGGTAATTGCTTGCTATATATGAGTATCAAATCAACACCTTAAATGTATGCAATGCTATATGTCAATTACATCTCAATAAAGCTGGGAAAAAAGCCAAACAGTCAAGCAAATAAAGCACCACCACTATCAAAAAAACTCCATCTAAAAGGAGATTGTCTTCTTCTAAAAGGAGAGACAGACAATAAACAAATAAGACACAAAATACATTAGTTTGTAGCAAAAAATAAAACAGGAAAATGATCTGGGAGTATTCAGGACAGTCTGGGAGCACCTTGAGGATGGAATTTGAGCAGAGACTTGAAGGAAGTGAAGGGCTTGGTGATGGGAAAATCTGAGGAGAGAGCATTTTAGGTGAAGGAAATGGTTAAGTGCAAAGGCCCAGAGGCAGGAGAGTACCTAGAGTGTTCAGTAAAAAGCAAAGAGGCCAGTATGGTAGGAGATGGGATTGGAGAGAGTGCTGGAGGCTCAAACGTCATTGCCCTCACTGTTAGACCTTAGGCTTTTCCCCTGAGTAACATGAAAAACCTTTAGTCTCTTAGAGGATGAAGAGTATGGAAAATAGACTGTACAAACCCAAGGACAGAAGAACAGTCAGGAGGCCATTGCCATCTTGCGTGTGACTGATGATGAAGCTTAGACAAGGGGAGTGGGGGAGGTGATGAGCAGCACTTGAATCCAACATGTATTTTGTGGAAAAGTCAAATGGACTTGCTAGTGGATTGGATGAATAAGGTAAATTATTTGAAGTCATTTTTTTTTCTCCCTACCTAAAAGTTATTTTAGTCATTTTCAGGCCTAGATAGAAAGTTACCTAGATCATTTATTATCCTTGATTAGACACTTATATTTTTTTAAATAATATTTAAAATAAAATTCTTTTAATTTTTCAAATTATGCATATCCAATATTCTATCCTTCTTATAAAAAGTCATGTAGTGCAAAATGAACACTCCCACTTACCATGTCACAGTTGTCCTTTTCCAAGAAAGAGACAATCTCTATTATGTTTGACTTTTTCTCTGTATTTATATATCAGAAATATAGTTTTATTCTTTTAAGAAAAATGGGGTCATAATGTTCACATTGATTTCTGCTTAATATGCCTTGAAGATCTTTCCAAATTAGTAACCTAGAGGTTCACTTCATTCTTTTAAATAGCTTAGGACTCCTCTAGAAATGTATCTGACTCATTTCTCTCCTCTCCTCTAATCACTGTCTAAATTAGGGTATCAAAACAGGCAGGCATCCACACACATGCCCTAGGCAGAGTGTCTCCTTCCAGAAAGCATCCACAGATGACATTTTAAGGTTGAGAGGATGAGCCCAGCATGCAGAGCCAATCTGTTTGACATGTCTTGGAGGGGATCACAGTTGCCTTGAGTCACTTGAGTTTGAAAGTACTTTTCTGGGGAAACGCTTGGGGCATTTTGTGCTCCTGGTTTCCCAACACCTCATTCCTTAGTGTTCATGGTTAGAGAAAGTTCAAGGGCCCAGGGCAGTGGGTTGGCCTGGTCTTATAGGGTCAGCAGACTTCCCAAACCAAAATGGAACGTCTGACTCATCAAGGATAACTGATGTTAATGGCTGGAGATATTTCTCTATATATGTATGCTTCTTTTCCAATTACAAAGTTGCATTTTATTATTTATTGTAATTGCATAGGTAATGCATGAACATTGTAGGAAAATTTAAAAAAAAATACAGAAAAAGGCTAGATAGTGATGACCAGAAAACTTCTGCCTAAAGTTACTATTTTGCTATTTACAAGAGGATTGGAAACTGGGTGGGTTGTGACATGTGTAAAACCTGTTTTACATGGTTGCCACAGTACAAACCACTAACTTCGCTTGGTTCTTTTGCCAAGAAGGTTTATCAAGGGTGTAAGGGTTTGTCAAGGGGTTTCCCTGGTGGCTCAGACGGTAAAGATTCCACCTGCAATGCAGGAGACCCGGGTTTGATCCCTGGGTTGGGAAGATCCTCTGAAGAAGGGAATGGCAACTCACTCCAGTGTTCTTTTTTTTTTTCCATTTATTTTTATTTGTTGGAGGCTAATTACTTTACAATATTGTAGTGGTTTTTGCCATACATTGACATGAATCAGCCATGGATTTACATGTGTTCCCCATCCTGAACCCCGCTCCCGCCTCTCTCCCCATCCCATCCCTCTGGGTCATCCCAGTGCACCAGCCCTGAGCACTTGTCTCATGCATCCAGTCTGGACTGGCGATCTGTTTCACACTTGATAATATACATGTCTCAGTGCTATTCTCTCAGATCATCCCACCCTTGCCTTCTCCCACAGAGTCCAAAAGTCTGTTCTATACATCTGTGTCTCTTTTTCTGTCTTGCATAAAGGGTTATCGTTACCACCACTTCAGTGTTCTTGCCTGGAGGATTCCATGGACAGAGGAGCCTCGTTATAGGCTGGCTGGTTACAGAGAAGGACTGGCTACAGTCTATGGGGTTGCAAAGGTGCAAAGAGTTAGACACAACTGAGCGACTAACATGCACACACACACACATGGGTATGTCATGAGGAGGTGGGAGGGAGCACAGACATATCCTGTTGCTAAACCAACTCCTGCTTTCCATCACCAGATCATATTCATAAGGAAGCAATGTTATAGTGCTAGAGGCAGTTGGACCTGTTGACCATGGTTTCCATCTGTTGGGACAACGCTTAAAATTCAGCAGCTATTGTTCATTGTTTCTGATCCTCTGTAGAGGCACCTGGAACACAATCATGCCTTCCTCTGGGGTGTGTTCCCCTGTTTTAAATTAATGACAGGGACCTAGTCCTTCAGCTCTGCACTGGTGAAAAACAGCAGAGAATGGAAATGAGAAGAAGGGTTTGCCCAGATGGGTGGGTCCTTCTAGGACAGCAGAATGAGCCAGGTGAGAAGGAGGAGCTGGGCCATAAGAGATGTTAGGACTCATCACTTCCCAGCACAGCTCGGATGGGTGTTTGTCTTGATGCCAGGTGCCATTCTGCTGAGTTGGGACATAATGGCTGGACACACCAGCCTGGAATAAAGGGAGAAGTACTCACATGTATTGTGCCAACAGGGTGGTGGATGCATGAGCTTCTCTAGCTGCTGAATGGAATTCAGTCCTGTAGCCTTTCACCTTTCATGCAAATAACTAGGCTTATTCTTGCTCGAGGCAGCAAAAATCTTTTGTTTCTATTATTATGGTCAATGATATTTATAAAACATAGGAATAGTACTCTAAGATGGGGTTTTAAGAGATAATAAGGCAGAGTCTTTGCCATCCCCAAACTCTCATTATCCAGTGGTAGGAATGAAATATAAGCAAGAAATAGTATCACTGGGTAGCAAGTAGTGAGTGTTATCTGAACAAAATGGAATATAAATGTTAATGGTGATCAGAGGAAGGAGACATGGCCATATACTAGAGTGGACATGACATAAAAGCTTCAGGAAAGGGGTGGCATTGGGTTCGGGGCCTAAAGAACATCTACGGGTGAGAGACATGGAGACGAGAGGTGGGTGGGGATGTCAGGAGGAGGAGATGGCTCAGGTAAAGGATTGGGGCTGGAGGGCAGATGTGCAAGAAGTAAAAATGGTGAATATCGTAAAGGAAGCATCAAAAAGCATGAGTGTGTGGGAACAAGGCACAGAAAAGAGAAAGATATGGTAAAGTTGTGAAGACAGCTTTATTGGAGGAATGATGATATTGACCGAAGCATGGATTTCTGGAAGGATGATGGGGAGGAAAATGGTGACCTTGAGACTGGCTCAGATGAAGGATGAAAATACAGAGGAAGGTGATTGTCTAGCTCAAGAGTGCAATCAGAGTGGGAGAATGTTTGTGAAAGTTACTTTCGAGGATCATTAGAGTGATTGGACTGTGAGATCTCCCAAGATGGAGCAGCAGGAAACCATCCTTTCAGTCTTGCTTATGCTCACATGTTGGATAGGAGGAGGAAGTGGATGTTGTGAAAGACTTGGGGTGCTGGTCCCCGTGATAAGAGTGCCACAAGAAGGTTCACAACAGAAAAAGGAAAAGAAAATGTCAGAAAAGTGGAGCCCTGTTCCCACCTTGACTGCCACAGAAAAGCCAGGAATGAGCCCTGAAAACAGTGAGTTCCTACCACTGGATGACTGCACAGAGCGGTTAGAAGTTAGCAGTGACTCAAGAGACCAGTTGTGATCAAGTCAGCTTGGTGGGTGTTTGGAGTGGGTGGCGATGAAAGAAATACAGTGAGGATAAACCAGCGGTTTAAACATTTGGCTGAACATCCTCATCACTTGGAGGGAACCTGAAAAATAAAATTCCTAGGCCCCACATCAGACCCTATGAGTCATATTCGTAGTGGTTGAACCTGGGAAACTGGTACAGATAGCTCAACTGCAGCCAGTCCACAGAGCATCATTTGTGAACCCCTGGTAGGTGATAAGAGTTGAGAAATTGGATGCACTTGAGAGGAGAGGAGGGCTGAAGAAGTTTTCTTGGTAGTTTTTAATTTTACTTTTAGAATAGAGGAGATCTGAGCTCTTCTTCCAGGTCGTGGGGAGATAATCTGATTGAAAATACAAGAGAGATGGAAGATAAGAGATAGCCAAGGGTCCCCAGCTGTAGAAAATAAGCTGGGGTCCTCTGAGGCAGGTGGGTGCAGGGCAGCCTGGAGTGGGGAAGGTGCAGGAGGTGGAAAGTCAAGGGAAAATT